GGCGATTCCTGCTACTGTTCACACCCTGGAGGGCATGGAAGGCGTATGCCTCCAGATCTGCATGCAGGGCAGAGTGGGCTGCTGCTGTGGGCTGGGGCAGCACCGGGCTCTTCCCGGCAGGGGACGGGCTGTATTTGAGGCAGGCAGCAGCAGTGGTGAGAAGAGGCCCTCCTATAGCCTTGCTCCCAGCACCATTGCCACCGCTTGCCCTGAACACAGTCCAGCCTAGCCCCCGCTGCACTGGGAAGGGCCCAGTGCCAACCTGCCGTGGCAGCCCACCCTGGCCTGCACAGATCTGGGGACACGCCCTCCATGCTCTCCTAGGGTGCATGCCGTGGCAGGAGTTGCCCCCTTCCTGCACCCCCCAGATGAGTCACTTGCAGCTCCGTCCCGCTTCCCTGCCCCAACCCCAGTCCCTCCCTCACCAGTGGGGCCTTGATCTGCCCCCCCATCCCTTCCCCCACACCAGACTTACCAACCAGATGCTGGTCTCCAAGCCACCAGGCTGTGCTCCATGCCGTGTACATGCTGCGACTGTGCTCATGCACAGGGCATTAATCAGCCACATGAGGCAAAAAAAAGCCGATTGCCATACTCTCAATTTTCCCTGTATCAATGCTGATTCAGTATGGGACCGATGTATCGGTGCACCTCTAGATATCACCCTAAGAAATCCCTGCCTCTAGATTCTCACAAATTTGATTAACTCGGCACACTGATGCACTAACTAGAATGTAGCAGGATACAACCTCCCTCCAACTACAGAGGTATTAACATCTGAAAACAAATGACAAAATCATAGTGATTAGATTTTAAATTTCCCTTTTAGAGTATAATAGAGAGAGAGAGAGAGATCGAATGCTTTTTTTTTTGTAATGCCTTACAAGGCAATGCCAGCTTAATCGTAAAACCAAGCTGGACTTCTAGGTTAGGTTAGGTAGAAGTCTAGACCAAGCTAGACTTCTATGGTTGTTTTGGTTCCATTGAACATTTTTGTATCCTTATCTATTTCCTAATCTAAAGAAAAAATAAAAAATCTCCATTCTCCTTTGAAGTATTTGAGAAAACGGGGGGATTTCAGAATACTTGGCATACAAGCGTGTGCTTTCCTAAACCACTTAGAGTAGGATGTGAAAAAACTGAACTCATAATTTTTAACTCTGAGAAAACACTATCGCATCAGTGCTCTGGTTTATTAAGAAAAATACATTCCAAAACTTCTCCTGCCAGCATATATTTGGAAAAATTAAATCCTAGATAATCTCTTAGATCTTCTGTTCTGTTATCACGTGTAGAGTTTTTGTTTTCTTTTCTTTTGTTTTTTACCATCTGATTGTAGCAAAGCAGCTCAAGTCTGCTTGCCTTGTCTTGGATTTTACAGGAGCTTTACAACTGTTTACTCTATTTACAAGACTAAATCAGCGGTTTACAAATGGAGACCTTGCTTGATAATGAAGTTATTTCCTTGCCCCTCAAATATTTCTAATTCTTATCTTTCTGCACAGCTGTTTGTAAGTTCAGCTTTACAGAATCTCTTGATTGGATTTCTACTGGCTTAGTTTAACAAAGAAGTCTTTCACTGAAGTTATCCAAATAAAAAAAAGTTAAGTGAAAATTGTGAAAATGGATTAGTTAGATCCATGTAGGCCTATAACAATAATTCTGTATGTGCCCCAAGAAATTCCTTTTTAGGGCATCATGTTAAGCCAAAAGAAAACATTTTGTTTGTTTGTCCCATTTGTACAGTGAAAAACAGCTCTCATAAAGCTTGGCAGGTCACCCAAAAAACATGGGGGAAAAGGTGCATCAATTTTGACCTGATGTAACAGATTTCATAGATTTCATAGACAGATTTACAGCCTTCCTGTTAGAAATGTGTAGCTGGAAAAGCCTAAATTACCCCAGTAGGGTTAACAGGAATGCCTGGATGAAATCTACCTATCGGTATACTTAAGGATTTCTAATGTGTTTAATTAAATACTGTTAGGCTAGCTAGCAGTTAGGCTGCCTGAATTTTGCTATACTGTATTGTTTCAATGTGTTCTTCAAACCCACATTTATATGGGGAAGGCAATATCCTTACAATATATGCTGCAATATATGCAGTATGCAAATACATGTTGATGTTCTCTATACATGATGTATGGTATATGTTTAGCCCTATGCCTTAGAAGGGTTTACTCCAATAAAACTGCACCCAGTGACATTTTGCCTCAAGCATATATCTGACATCATTCAAGCTTAGGTACTTAGACATCTCCTTTCTTTATCATTTACAGTTCCTTATGCTAGATCTGATTATGCTAGATCTGATTATAGCAAATCTTTCTCCTCTTCATCATCTCTGGTTTTGTGTGGATCTCATAAAATACTTATGCTGTTCATATGCTCAACTGATTGTAAAATGTTCAAATAAGCTATTTTATCTGTGTTGCTGTTTGTCCAGTCTGACATTAATAGGACTATTTTGTTGCTCATTATAATGTTTCAGGCGTGCTTTTTCCATTTTCCCCAAAGAACCAAATGGCCACAGCCTTAGATCCATCTCCAGCCTTTTGATCATATCACATATCTTATTTTTCTAATGTTGTTATTTAAAAAAAAATAAATTTAGAAACAGATGCTTATCCAGGACAAATTTAAATTAAAAAGATGACCTTTGGGTTTGAAGTTTCTTAATGAAGTTGACTTTCTAATAGCCCAAGAAATCTGATTCTGTAGCTTTAGACTGGCTGAAAGCCTGTTTTTCCTTGTATTTATATCTGTAAGAATAGTTGTTTTAAGGAGACCTTTGGCTAGACGAGCGAGGAAAGCAAAGGAAAAAGCAGCTCTAGAGCTCAAGCCGGACTGTCATTTAGAGGAACAGGAATGGTTTTCTCCAGAACAGTAAGTGTTTGGGTTAAGGGGGGGAGCAGGGCTGCGACAAGCTTTGAGCTGATAAAAATGAAATGTTCAACACTCACATTTGTTACATCGGCAATAATGATTCCCTTGAACCCTTGAAAGACTGTGCAGTGCAATGCAAGTCCAAACATTTCTGATGCTGGTCTTGTGTCTGCAGTTGTGCGCACTTAGTCATGGAATCGGACAGTATCAGCGTAAGATTATGGTGTGTAATGAGCACCAGCAGGAAGTATTCTTAAAGAAGGATTAAGGGACATTTTGTTTCAAAATTGCTTGAGTTAGGTACTTTTCAAAATAGAATTTAGGCTTTAAGTCATTTAGGTGCTTTGGAAAATGTTATCCTTTGTCTTTAAGTCTTATCCTTAAAATCAGTGTAATATTCTCATTTCAGAATTGGAAGAGTTTTTATTAGTTCCTATTACTCTACCGGATTTGCCTGTGCACACAGGTACGGACATCCCTCAATTCAGTCCCAAAATTAAATACATTCTACACAAATTCTTTGTCTCCTCACTTCTATTATGGAAAACTTATTGTTTTGAGAGAGAATCCTAAAACTTTGCTTGCAGGAAGGGAAATTTACACTAACGAGAAGATGCCGTAGCATTTTAACTTCTCTTCATAAATCATATATTTTTGTTACTCCTATTTAAGATCTTTGCCTTACATTGTGTTATATGTTCAGGCTTTGGCAGAGAAAGAGGCCAGCAAAATTCACTAAAAGTTTGCCAGCTTATGTTGTATGTACATTCTTCCTGCAAATATCAAATCATCCCTCCCTTTTATTGACATTGCATCAGGGCTGATGGGGCCAGTATGAGATCAGTAGCTTTCTGCCTGTTTTCTGAAATTGCACCAGTCCTAAGGCTAAGTGCAGACATTTAGGGGGGTTAGGAAAAGGTTAGAAGGGGTTCAAAATGGCTATTTGATCTAACTTAGTTTCTCCAGTACGGACCTTACAATTATGCCTGGTCTCAGTGATTGGAAATCAGTCTAAACCCATAGCAGTAAAGAAGTTCCATGCAAACAGACCGGTCTAAAAATGGCTTAACCCGGTCTGAGATAGACCTGGATCGATGTGTACTCAAACTTAATTGAACTAGGTTAGACCAGTGAATTGAACTTCTGTACAGTTACCTGCATAGCCCCAGGGCTGGGAAGGCCCAGCAGCCAGCCCCAGCGCTAGGTTTGTGCTTTTGTGACCCCCCTCCCACACCCCAATCACCAGGCTATTTTAGTCCTTGACCTCTTGCCCAACCCTTCCAGCCCCCCCACCAACCCCACATCCCAGACGTCTCTCTGAGTGCCACCAGTTTTAGAAGTGTTCACCACTGCTGGGAGCCAAGCAAATGAGTATTGGTGGGGGAAGGGGTGGGAGGGATGGGGGTAGATTCTCTGGGAGGTGGGGTTTAAAATAGCCTCTGGTCTCCCCAAACCTCCCAAGGACCCCATGAGCCTCCCTGATCCCACCAAACCCTCCTGGACCCTAGCAACCCCACGCAGACCTGATCACCCCCCCGATCACCCCCACAGATGCCACCTGCCCCTCCCCCTTGTCCCTGCAGATCCCACCTGCTCCCCTCTCCCTCCTGCAGTTGCCACTTTCCCCTCCAACGCCCCTCCAAATCCCCCCATCCCTCCCACAGATCATGCCTGCCCCCTCATCCATCCCAAAGTTGCCACCTGCCCTCCCATCCCCCCATGGATGCTGCTGGCCCCTTCCATCCACCTGCGGATCTTGCTTGGCCCCTGTCCCCCACAGCCCTCCCACTAACCTCCCCATCTCAATTTACCTTAGATCGGGTGGCCGTTTTTAGTATTTTTAATACAATCTAACCCCCCCCAACCCTCCCCGAATGTCTGCATTTAGCCTATGTTCTATGTGATTTTTGCACAGCACGGGCAGCGAGCAAAACATTGTTTGGGAACTCCCTTTTCTTTGGTACAGACATGCATTGCTTGTTTCACCATATAAGTCAATCAGGCTTTAGTCTGTCACAGTATTTTTAGTCTCCCCTGGTCCCTAGATCTCTGTTCTTATGTTATAACGCTTTCCACAGCTGACTCCCTGCCCCCCAGTCCCAACTTGATCTCCTTTCTTCCTTTGACTTTGTAAGTTCATCCAATAACAGCTGTAGGTTTTTCTGTGATTTTTTTTTTTTCTAAAAGCATTTGTGTTCCTTTTGGTTGCACAAAAAATCCTTTGATTCCTTCCAAAAAGGAACAGGATTTCCCCTTTCTAGTTAAGATTAAAGATTGTCAGCTACTGGAGTGATAACATTGTGCAAGAAGAAAGGTGTGGGGGGGCTGTCTTGTTGACTATGCCTCTTCACTGTGCTGTATACTACAAAAACTGAGCTGGCCATTGTAGCTGGCCAACGTGATTCTCCTCCCCCAGATTTCTTCTGTGCCCTTGATTAAGTCACTCCTGTGTGCTCAGTCTCTCTCAAGATATCTATGCTGAAGTCACAGCTGTGACCTCAGTGTAGGTAGACATACTTGAGCTAGCTTAGGTATCAGTAGCAGTCTAGCTGCAGTGGTGCGAGCTCAGCTCAGGCTGCAAAACCTGCCTGAGAAGCTAGGTAGATACTCGGGTCGTTAACCCATGCTGAGCTGAAGGCTGTAACTGCAGTGCAGATATATCAGCGGTTTCCCATCTGTAAAACAGGAGTAGTGGCACTTTTGTCCTTCACCGAGGTGTTGTGAAAATAATTTCCAAGTTTGCAAGATGCTCAGATGCTGCAGTAATGGGGGGCCATATCAGGACCTAAGGTAAAAGGAGCCTGTGCACACATGCACAGACATATCTTTTGGTGCTAACTTTGCTTTTCTTATATATATAAAAATCATAGCATGTGTCATGGGAAGGGGAGATCCTTTAGTTTCCTTCCTGCCCCTCCCCACACACTTGACTCCAGAAAGTCTGAAAGCTTTATTTTTGCTTATATTTTCATACAGATTGCCTTTGGAAAAGTCAGTGCCAGGACAATTTTTGCCTGAAAAATGAACTTTTTTTGAGCCATCAAAAACTGAGTTAGGATCAGAATGCATATAGGCTCACAACTGCAGCGATGGCTGTCACTCCTGATCCTGTGCTAGTTTATTTTGTGGACCTGTATTTATGCAGTTTCTCCAGACATTTTACACAGCTGTGTGTCAAATATCATGCAGAGAGATACCATGATTTTGCTTCATTCATTATCCAGTTTCAGTTGGACAAGCTTGTCAGATGAGCACATGTATGCCAGCGCAGTATTGTCACTCTAGCCCTTTACAAAAATAAATAGGGAATGTCTGTAAGCTATGAATCTATACATTTATTTTTAAATTAGCTAGCCTGCTCATGAGCGATTTCCTTACCCTCCACTTCACCCCCACCCCACCGCAGCATCTGTTTGTAAGGACATTTTATACTGTTTCTAATTTTAAAAACTAATAGCAAGGGCTAGCGATCATTTATTCTCATTTATTAGATTATCACCACCACAGCCTTTATACACATCATGTTGCTGCCAAACATCCCTGTTCTTGGCCAAAAGTGACATCTTGAAACAGGCAGTATAAAAATGGCATATGTAGAGAGGGTAAAATGTTCAGTATTTGCCTTCATTTCTTATTGGAAGTGTCAAAGAATGTTCTTAAGAATGGCAACTAGGAAAGGCAATGAATTTGCTCCTATACTGGGTAGTGGGTTTTAAGTAAACTTGTTAATGCATGGCCCAGTTTGCAGGCCTTTCCTTTGCTGGTTACTGGCATAATTGCCTGTCATCATCTGATACTGGAACTGCTGGGGGCACGGTGGCTTGGATCATGAGTTAAAAACTGCTAGGTATTGCCTTATGTGCATATACACCATGGCTGTCTACTGAATGAAATGTCAGGTATGCTCATGTGTGTTGGGCTGGAGGGGTGATTCCATCTAGTTAGGTGGTCCACAGAAGATGCATTATTAAAATTCATGGAGAGTCTCCATTAGCTCGAATAGAAAAGGACACATTTCTAACCACCTTCTAAAACAGCCCACAAGGATATCCTCTGTGCACATTCAGGAGGTGTAGAGTTAGGAACAAAATAATATACAGACAGAATTTTCTAGAGACAGTCTAATAGAGTACATTTTTAAAATTGTAGATTTGAGATTATAGTCCCCCAACTAACTACAATTTATTATGCATTTTATGCTACATCTTTTTAAAACATGAACTAAAAGTTTCTATAACTGTCCTTTAAAGTGTTTAACTCTTACAGCTCTATTTTTGGTGTTAAACTGCTGTTTTTCACAAAAAACTTTTGTACGCATTTTTAATTTTCTGTTGAGCCAAATTTATTCTGTTTTTACTGTAGCATATTTCACACACAAGTTTGCCTCTGTTTTTTGCCATAATTAAAGATGGCATAGGAATAGAAACAAAGGCCATTGGCGCGGAAAGGGACCTCATGAGATCTTCTACTCCAGCCACCTGCTTAAGGCAGGATTCTCCCCAACTGAACTATCCAAGCAGTCTTTGCAACTTGAATGTCAGAAGGGCCATGAAATTCTGTGTTAACAAAATACAAATATCATGAATTACTAATGCTTCATTTTCCTTGAGAGCATCTTTTTCCTTTCTTCCTCTACCACCTCCCAAATATAAGAAAAAACTATTTAAACAGACTTGAATGGGGATTATTGAATCATATGCTGCTCTGGGCAAACTTTCTTCCAACCTAGTATTTCCTCAGATATAAGTTAGAATATTTTACTTGTCCTTTTTTTAGGAGTGCACCGATAAAGATTTTTTGGGCTGATACTGATGGCTGATCATTAACAAGCCATATTGGCCGATACTGATCCAGTTGCCAATATGCAGCCCAGCAGCTTGGAGAGCAGCATCTGGCTGGTAAGTCTGTTGTGGTGGAAGGGGTGGGG